ACTTGTACTCGGTGACTTTCGAATTGAATATGAAAGAATGGCAGAAATCCTAAGTAAAACGAGCCTGGGGATAGCTTTCGCACGCACAATGCATATTTGATTCTTGACAATTCGTACGTGAGATGTAGCTATTCAATGGAAGAGATTGCAAAGGCCACCAACAGTTGTCGGCGACTATTTTATGCCGATAATCGAAACCATCTATCCAAAAGTCGCTTGATGAACTGTAGGAAACTCTGCGTTCACAATTCTGCCCTCATTCATCATTTAGAAGGCATTGAAAGGATGAAAATTCTTAGGAAGTTAATGCCGCATGCGTTTAACGAATGGCAGCGCGATCGTCGTCAAGAAGTTTGTTCTGTCTTCTTTCACGATGCAGGAAGCAACCCCTTTCTATGACGCATTGTGACGTATGAGAAATGAATTCTATACAACCAATAATATCCCAAAGTAGTTAGGATGAGATGAGGCTCCCAAACTTTTTCCAAAACCGAATTGCATCAAAAATTGATGTGAGAGCTTTTGTTTCGACAGCTGAAAAACGTTGTGAATCTTGGTAACAGCATCAGAACAAAATGAAATGTCACAAAAGCGATGAAATCCTACGACGCATGCTTCCATAAGTCGGACTGGATATAGAAACTGCACCACTTTTACTTTTACTCCTTCGTGTTTTAGAAATTCGACGACGTCGTCGATTTTAGGATGCGCTTAAAACCAAGTATCATCAATTGATGAATGTTTCACTATGCGTTTATAAATAAATTCAGTTCTAAAAGAAGCACTAACACCTTCACAAAAACATGCATTGCTTTCAATTCGTACGTCACCAAAAGTGTTTTGAGCTTTCGAATCAGCTCACACTAAATTAATCACTTCGAGTAGCAAACAGATTGGAACCTAGACATTTTCATCAAAAATATGCATGTTCTCATATTCTGTTGCGATGATTTATTGATCAACTGGATATCACAAAACATTTTGTTCGCTTTTTTCTGTGGGGTGCATATTTCAAACAGAAGAACGAGTGAGTAAGCAGCGTTCCGTCTCGGAGGACAAGACTTTATTCCCAGACGTCTATAGCTGCGATTGCCACACTTCTATCAAAAGCTAGAAATTTCAACACTGGTCACGGCTGTTCGAGGGAATTCGAGGGAATCCAAAGCTGGAACATCATAGCAAAACTGCTTGCACGGTTACGGTGCTTGTCTGTCAGCCTGCGAAGCTCACGAGCTTTGCGTCAAGAGCTCCTGAACTGAAATTCACCAGTGTGGCCAACGTGTTCATATTTTGGTGAAATTTCATCATGAAGTACAGATGAAAGGAAATATTACCCTCAAAACAAATTTTGGAAGGCTTTTAGTCCAACGAAGAGAAATCAAAGCCAGAACAACATTAAGGTTGCCATCGGCATGGCCTTCAAAGTGAACACCGAAAAATAAAGTTCGAAGAAAAAAGGAAAGGAATCGAAAATGAACGCAGGATTCGATCTAATTTCCGCGACATGCGCTCATCAAGGCGAGATTGGCGAATTTGTTCGAACTCGAAGTGCTTCTATTTGGTAATTTCGTAGGCATTTGCTCTTCCAAATTCTAAAGGAGGCAGATAAAGTATTCCAATAGGAAACTCTCGCCTATTCGAGATATTCGTTTAGAAGTCTTTTTAAGGCAAATGATGGTCGAATCAGCATGGCGGAATGGTAGCCAATAATTTGGACCGCGGAAAGCAAAAAAGAACAGACGCCGTTGGCCTTGGAATTATTTCACAAATCAGGACCCATCCACTCCTGACAATTTCCAGATACCAGAATGGGTGTGATAAATTTTCATTTTTTCTTTTGCTTTCTGTCACTATCTGACTGTCAGAACCTATAATATGATAGCATGAAGGTGTTTTCTGAGCCGCAGACACGTTTTAAAAGCACAAATGCTTGTAGAATTACGCAAGGGAGAAGTCCTTTAGCTAACCACGCAGACATTCCTATACAATAAAAGTGGCTGATGCTGTTTTGAACCGCTAAAATGTCAGCGCACAAGCCACAGTGATTGCCACCGCTGCGCAAATGAGTTCGGCGGAAATGGTGTCGAATTGCGTACATCACACAAGTGTTTATCCAGATGATGTGCGTGGTCACGGGCATGCGGCATCCTCTCCTATCCCTCTAATCAACGTTCATTCAGTGAAGGGCGTACAAACATACAGAACAATGTTGTCGGCTTTTCTTAAATAGCTCGTCCACCTAATTCACTACCGCTTTACTCTGTGCATTCACTAGAAAATAAAAACATGGGTACGTTTATAAAAGCAGCAATCATATTAAAATTCATCTCTTTTCCACCTTCGCAACGATGAGCGCTGATTGCAACATGTACGTTGATAAGCACTAGGGATTGCGCACATTAATTGTGCACTCTTTTCGGTGGCTTCTTTAGCCGCATAGAGATTTTTGCCACTTTTTATCGCCACAATAATGTGAGATATTTGGAAAACTCAGAGACTAGATTCGACCGTTCGATTACCCTCTCCAGGGGGTACCGTGTTAGCCACTGCGCCATTGAGGCCTTTGATTTACTTTTCTCTTAGCCGTTTTTTACCCTAACGGTGCCATCAACATCGTTATCAATTGCCAAATAATCATTGTGGTTGTACTTTATATAAAACCGTGCGATGAAAAGGTAATAGACAGCAAATAAAAAACAATACATTGTAATTTTATAGATGTATTAGACTGTAGCCTCAAATTTACTGGGCTCAATGTCGATTCATTTCTGTTGACGGGTGACTGCTTATAGCACTATTAGGACGAAAAGTTGGCTGAGAGAAAGGTAAAGCAAAGTCTTCAGTGGTGCAGTGCACACCTAAGCCTCTGGAGAGGGTAATCGTGGGTTCCAATGTGGCCTGGGGTATGATTTTCACAAATATCTCAGCATACATAATGATGCTGAGATAATTGCAAAACTCTGGACCTCAGGTGTCGGCAGTGGGGAACGAGCGCGCTATTACCCTTTTTGCGACTAGATAGTTCACCACCACACTATGCGCGTTTTTGCTTGCCTCTGTACAGCATAGCTTTAACTGGGTTCAATGCCAATTTCTGCTCCCCAGATTAGCGAAGGCCTCGCGTGGTGTAGTGGTGAACGAGTTAGCCTGTGGAAAGGGTAGTAGTGCGTTCGTTTCCCACCGCAGCCACCTGCAGTGCGGAGCTTTACAAATATCTCAGCACCATTATGGTTCCGTTTTACATAGCACCCTGGCATGAAAAATAATAGGCAATAAATAACAGTATTTAATATAATTCTTGTAGTTAATTGATAGCCTGTTCAACACAGATGTTGTGATGAACATTTGTCGGGAAAAGCTCTGTTCTGTACCACACAGTGCAAAACGACCGGTTTTCGAACTGGTAATTTTTCTGGCAATCAATGGGAAGCGGATACCACACTGTAATCATGCCGTTCATTACATCGATGGCCCAGCCTACTCGGAGGCTCGTTCGACCTCGCCCAGGGGGGCACACGTACCGTCTCAACGCTCTCGAGTCGATAAATTGGTACTGGAATTGTCTAAGACAAGCCTTTTAATTGATAGCCTGCCCAACACAGAAAACCATCTCGCTCATGTGTGAATGTTCCTGCACGGCTATCTCATAATTCTAAGAATATTCGACTTCACCAGCGTTCAACAACATTCATAATGGAAGGAAAATCCTCAAGGGGTACATGTGATGTCGAGTCATGTAAAAAAGTAACTGTTGTTTCGATTTAAATCATTACAATGAATAATAATTATCGTTCAAAAGGTACGAGCACAAAAACTGCGGAAATGGACTCAAAATATGTTGTAGCACACTTCCAAATGCAGACATCAATGTGATTGCGTTGTAGGCCATAGTAAGAAGCAGTGAGTGGTACTGCATACAAAGCTCATAATCTAGACGATTGAGCAAACTGCCTACTATAAATTATTATATTTTCAATCCCCCAAGTTTTCTGGTTATCTAAATATCATCGTCTACTCTCAAAAAACCGGCAGATTCGTTTCACTTGTTTCACCTGTCACCTTAGACTTGCTCGATGGAGTCCAAAGAACGCTGACCATCCGCTCACTGCTCTTCTTACAATACATTTGACATTCCGAAGAATCCGGTCACTAATGGCTATTACTTGTCCTTCATATGCATTACGTGACCGGTCAACTTCATCTTTGACTTTCCGGGGAGTAACGCGTTCACACCATGCGAGTCCTTGGTTTCGCCTGTCTCTCAGCTATTTCTATCGATATCGGGTGCCACAGCAATCACCCGTCAGCGGGATTGATCTGGGGCACCCAAATCAACATAGAACCCAGTTAAGCTGCTGCTGTAGTTGATAGCTGAGAGACAGGCGAAACGAAGGACTCGCATGGTGTGGTGGTGAACGCGTTACACCCCGGAAAGGGCAATAGCGCGTTCGTTCCCCGCCATAGACACCTGCGGTCCAGAGTTTTGCAAATATCTCAGCAACGTTGTGGTTGTATTTCGCTTAGTACCCTGCCGCGAAATTATAGTAGGCAGAAAATAAAAAAGTATAACATTTATCATTGACTGTTTGTCATGCAGAACGGTACCTTTGGTTTTTGAACGCTGACGTAGGTTGAAGCCTCGGAACCCTTTCCTCGCTTGCGTGACACGGGATGCTCTTAGAGTCGTCTTTTCGAATGCGCCTTGAATAAACCTTAGTGGTCTTTCATGCTGTTTACGTAGCGACCAGGTTTTTGACAAATACGTTAAAGAATGAAGAATCGTGGAGTCGAGAACGTGTGCATTGAGTCGAACGCTATTTGTTCACTTCACTACATCCTCGATTCTCCTGAAGCAACCTCAAGCCGCTCGCTTCCTCCTGCTCAACTCTAGAGCTAAGTTGTTCATCACGTAGATTTCCCGACTAAGCTATACGTAACTGAGAACTCCGAGATACTCATTCCGTTGAGCGTAAATGGAGCATATATAACCAATCCATTCCTTATAACATCGTTTTTGTAAGATTTAGTCGAAAACCAGTCTTTTCACATGCGTTATCAAAGTCAGCAAGCATTCGTTCCGCTCGTCTAGTGTTTGCTATGGTAAGAACGACGTCATCAGCAAGGTGTTCTAATTGCCGACCATCGATTTTCACCACCCTGTTGTCCCATCCCAATGTTCCCATGACGTACTCGAGGGTGGCGGTATATAATTTTGACGAGATGGTATCGCCTTGCCTAACCCCTCTTTTGATGTCAATGTTAATATCGATGTAGAATGGTGATATCTTGGTTGTGAAATTTTTGTACAGCTCACGAAGAATCTTTATATACTGAGTAAGGGCTTCCATCAATGCTTCTATCTCAATTGAGTTAAAAGCCTTCTTTAAATCGATGATTGCTAGACAGTGCGGTCTCTTGTACTCACGCCTTACGTCATCTATCAACGCTGTTTAGGATAACTCGAGTGAAACGTTTGTAGACGACGAACAACAAGCGAAGTGGGAGGTGGTTGCCGACATCGTGGAGGTCATCCTTCTTGAACAATAGTACAGTCTTGCTAGTATTCCGCTAACTAGGAACCTTGCATTCCGATGCAATTTGTTTATGAGGACTGCCGGAAGGTTTTTCAGATATTCATATCTTATCCTATGCGGACCAAGCACTGTTCGATTTTTTCACTGGCGGAATAGCACGTTGGATTTCGAGAGGGAGAACCGGTGGCACAGCATATCCATGCTCCTTTATTTCATATGAGAACACGAGGATGTAGCCATTAAAGAAGTCCGACTACCCATCGTAAATGATGTTCTCTATTGCTTTTCTGGAAGCTGTAACTATTCTATCTGGGCGTCGGAGTGCAATAATTTTGGCCTTGTAATTGGCGAAGCTTCGGTGGGCTTTGCGAATGCTTTTCCCTGCCTCTGCAGCTTCGGCCATTACTGCTGCTCTTCTCTCTCTAAGATCTTCTTTTTATAGCCTGCCTGCATTGTTTTGCAAGTTCGGACGTTAGATTGCGGTTGCCTCCAGCTCGTGCGTTCCGCGCAGGCGTGTCGGCTCGTATGTTTCTGAAAACAGTCTGTTGGTGACTTTCGAACTCTCAGCTTTCATAGCGCCAACATGAAGATGTTGAATGAGCCGTTCATACTCTTCGTCGATGTTAATGAGCTGATTAATGAACTGAATAAATACCAGTTTATGATGGTTCTTGAACTTCGGTTTTTGCATTTACCGGTTTTTTTCTCCTTTCCACAAGAAAGGAAATCTTGCAAGAAGAAGACCGCGATCTGATTCCCTGCAGAATTTTGGGACAGCAGCGACATCGGCTGGGCAAAACCTTCAACTTACTGAGGTCAATCTCGTTATGGCACTTTCCATTGGAAGACTCCCACGTCCAGCGTTGAGGCTGGGGCTTCTGGAATTGTAAGTTACCATGGATGGTCTTGGTCGCCATGATAAACTCAGACAGCCGCTCACCTTATTCGTTCCATTCTAATCCGTGGGTCCTAATGCGACGTTCTTCTTGGTCCAATCATAACGTTAAAGTCTCCAATGATGACCTTGAAGAATGTATAGTCTTCTCTGTAGAATTTCTCCAAGTCCATATAGAACGCTTCGACTTTTTCTTTGTCACAGTTTTATGTCGGCGCGTAAACGACGAAGATTGTCAAAACCGGTACTGATCCACATCTCCTCAACCGTAGACGTCCAATTCGTGTTAATCGCTGTTCTAATGAAACGATGATCATGGCCAAACTCGTGTTAACTAGAACGCAGACACCGCGGCCTCCTCTACCCTCGCATGTTCCGAGGAATACTTTTTCGCGTGATCTTATCCTTCTCGCTTGCATGTTCAAATCTTCTATCGAGGACTCGGATGCAAGAGTACGTGCATTGTAGGTGCAGATCGTCACCTTAGTTCTTTGCGATCCAGGCATCTTCTATTGGCCCTGAGATTTCAGCAGCCTCTGAATGCTCGTTCTACCATACACTGCCGAATCAGGGGCTCTTTCGCGAGCAGGGAAACGAGGCCCATTTCTCTTACCGTTTTTGGCTTTTTGATACCACATATAGCGTGCTGAGCTCTGAACGTGGGGCCGAGTATACTCACGGGTAACTTGTCAACGTCCCACAAGGTAAGCGAGGAGCTTATTTGTTCGAAGCAACTCCTACCCAATCCCATATAGTTCCCAGTCATTTGATTGTAGACTTTTAGCCGAATTCACTCGTTAAGTACAATCCGCATAAAGGGAAAAGCTCCTCTGTGCATGCACGCACGAATACGTCCTCGTAAACAGAAGATGTGTGTCAAATCGACGCAGCAGAAACAGAAGGTTAGTCTCCTGGATCCACCTGCATCTCGGGGAAGCAATAGTTGTTTTTGGACTGCGATTAACCTGCTATCCACCACCGAAGAGGGCCACGTCACCTTTCGGCTAATCGTCTTGAGATCTCTCTATGACCGAGATCCGTGGTATCAGTAGATTAGTAAGAGCATCGAATTAGGCGTAGTCGAGAATGTGTTAGATCTAGCAGCGACAAGTACTGGAAATAGTCACATGTCCCTGTACGATCATCTACGGTACTTGTTTTTCAAAGAGGAAAATCAACTCAAACCGCGCTCAATCTAACTCTACCACTTTTTCCTTAACCGGGAATGTTATCATAATTGTTTATGATTTACATCACCATTCCTCACATCTAATGTGTCGATCCGAGCTCTTTTTGCAATCGATTCCTCGTATCCATCATCCACGAAGGCGTTAGAACATGTGGATTCGACTACTGGCTGAGGATTGTTGTCTTGTTCTCAAATGTGGTCGACTCGTGGAATGTGGATTTCAATAGCTCATGTATACAGGTATACAGAAGAGATTTTTAGTTATCGCTATACGGCATAGATAATCTTTCAAAATATTTTAATACTTGAACCCCGGGCCAGATCGAACTACGATTACCCTTTTATGTAGAAAACTAGCTGAGAGAAACGCAATGCAAGATTATAATCCGACAGGGTAATCGTGGTTTGTTCTGGCCCGGGTCCAAGTTTTGCGAATATGGTGCAGCAAATAAAAGGCTAAATTGTGATTTCAAAACTTCGCTTCAATTTTCAACTCGTTTAAGATTAGGAATTACAGAAAAAGACTGTGCTTTTAAATTTTCTAGTGCAAGGGGTGTTAACCGCAACCATCAACATTGGAGGACACTACCTTATTTCGTCCTACAAATTCCCGTTATTCACCAGCTTCGGATTTCAGAATGCTATCCTTTACGGATGTGATTAAAAAACGTCCCATAATCCTTTATAAAAGACATCCAAAAAATAACAAAAGTTAAGGTTGTCGGCAAAGATCAAAAGATTCTAATGATCTTTATCGGTATTGACAAAGTTTTACAATGGGCTGAGAAATGCTGGCTCAAGGTTGAAATGAGCCATTAGCACACAAGACTTGAAGTCCATACATATGGCCTCGAATGTGTGAAATAATATAAATTAAACCACGAGTGAGGCAATCTCATGTTTATCTAAAAAGAGAAATTCGATCAGTTCTGAAACATTCTACATTCTACATGAATAATCTTAATGATACAACCACAATTATGCATAGATATTTGCAAAACTCCGGAGCGCAGGTGTCTGCGGTGTGGAGCGAACACGCTATCAACCCCTTCCGAGGGCTAACGTTCACCACCACGCCATGCTGGTCATTCGTTTCGCTTATCTCTCAGCTAGTTCTATCGATCACTGCCATCAGCTATGACTCGCCAACGGGATTGATCTGAGAAGCTCAAATCGGCAATGAGCCCAGTTAAACTGAGGCTGTAGTCGAGATCACAATGTTAACTCTTTTTTATTTACTGCTTGTTATAATTTTTCACAGCAGCTATAAAAAGAAGTTAGCGTTATGCTTTGATAACTGGCATTCACGCCTTCCGGGCATGACGTATTTGCTAAATATTGCGTAAAAAAACATTTTAAAAAATTTATGCACAACCACAACTGCTGTAGCGTTCTTTGCAGGCAGGAAACGGAACAGATAGCTTTTTCCTACACTTCAATGTAATATTTATATTTACAGAAACATATATATGTATATACATTTGGAGAGAGAGCGGGAGAGAGGAAGAGAGAGGGAGGAAGAGGAAGAGAAAGAGAAATCTTAAGCGGATAGACCACTGTAGTGTAGTTGTTAGTATTGTTATATTCTACAGAGGTCAAAAAGCTAAAAACCTGCGTATAAATGAGTATGGAATTTTACAACACTGAAGAACGGTTAGAATCAAAACAATTTTGTTGAGTATCGATTACATAAAAAGCAACTCAAAGATCCAATTCTTCGTATTTTTGTTGAGCAAACGCGAGGTGTTATTATTCTTTATTCACGAATAAGCTGACGTTTCGGCGGATTTCGCCTTCCCCAGAGCCGCTTTGTATGAGTCTTCCACTGAGTAGTGAGTCCACTCAAAGATCCAAATGTGAAAAATCACGAAGTTGAAGCTGGGCGACTTAAATCTTCCTGTGGTAGTGTTATGCAGTAAGTCAGAAAAAAGGCAGCATGAGATGTGTGATGTGCAACTCGATCGTAAGTGAATGAAGGCATGGCTGACCAATTACGTTGAGCTGATGTATGCGGAAAAATCACCATCTAACGAAGTTTACGAAGGTTCGCACTCCCAAAGAATTGTCGAGGACGACAACAATGCCCAAGAAAATCCCCAACGTTCTGCATCATCCGCGCTAACCTTTTGGTTTCCTAATTCAGTGAACTTCATTCTGTAATCACACATTACCTCGAATAAGGAGCAAAGTTAGCCAGAAAGACTACTTTGCATACAAGAAAGCTCGGGTGCCTGAAAACACCCGTTTTCATCGACGACGAAAAGAACAAGAAGTTATTCGTTCACTAGTACGGCACCGCGTTCAGGCAAGTGAGAGTACTCACAGTAATCTGATACATTTGCAAAATTCGGAGCCTCAGAACAGCTTCGAAACCTGCAATTATCTCTTCAGCAAGCTCACTTGTCACCTCTGCACCATCGAGGGCCTACTTTTGCTTCTCTCTCAGACAATTTTTTAAGGTGGCGATGCTATCAACAATAACCCGTCAACGAGAATGATCTGGGAATCACAAATCCAGATTGAAAATAATAGGCAGTTAATAAACCTGGTTCAGTGCCATTTAATGCTCACTAGATCACTCACGTTGAGAGGCGCTGCTTATATCGCTGTTAAATAAAAAAAGGATAAAACTTTGGGCGTTGATCTATCCCTGAAGGACGTGCCATGCATTCGACTTCATTAAGCATCATTGGAGGTGAATGAATGCATATCTGGCCAATGCAATGGCTCGCTGTGGCCTAAACATGTGTGGAGGCAGTGCTGCTATCTTCCCAGACAGGACTGATAGCAATTTGTGGAGCTCAGAGGGATAGAAGGCTTGATGAGTTTGGGGCGCTGGACCAAATCTATGTTCATTGCAGGGCGCCGCTAATCAGTGCGCTACACTCGCTGCTGGAGTAAAATATTGACTGAAAGAAAGGCAATGCCAAGGCTCTTACGAGTTTAAAGCTGGCCTGAGGCTCCGATTT